GACCGTTGCAGCAGAAGGGGGACTGCAGTGGGCCGGTTAGTCCAGCCTTCTGTCTCACTTGGCAGAAAAACACAGAATACAGGACAACAAAAGAAGGCTTCTTTTCCCATAAAGATTCGCCCTCCCTCTGCTCCTCTCCCCCCAAAAGGGGCCTGAATTTTTCAGCTGCACACTGATTTGGTGCTCACTCTTGCAGGGAAACAGTTGCTGTCTGAACAGGCAGGAAACAGTTTTCTTTTAATTGCCGAAATCATTCGGAAGTGCTTCGTGCCCTGCTTCTATACAGCAGATGCTGTGCATTAATTGGCCTGCGTAGAAGTGACCCAGGGTTCCTTGCAGCGGGCCCATTTTAGGCAGAGGGTTTAAATAGCTTATTTATTATTTTGTATAATCTGGCGTGCATTATGTGCTTCTGCATGTGTCGTGTTTCATGGTCTGCAGTTTCTAATGTCATGTGGGTTTCAAAACCTGTGTTTCTCTGGTAATGTACTAGCAGCAGGTAAGCTCAAAATACCATCCATCAGGAGCTAATTTTTTATCCAGATACTCCAATGACTGATGAACCTGTCTTTTGTATGAATGTTTAGCACAGTAGAAAGCCATATGCCACTGGCACAGTTTCCTCTGCATTCTTTACAGTTGCTACAGAGTGGGCTTCCAGTGGGGGGACAAACTCGACACCGTTTGCATCCTCTGTCCCGTATTTAAGCAATAGCACCTTTAACACAGCCCTGGGTTTGGACTGCAAAACAGGGAAGGGGCTATCTTAAAGGAAACCTAACTCCCATAATGATTTTCTCCATCAGAAATAGGACTGCACACCCTTAATAGGGGACCTTGTTTTGTTCCTCCCCGTCTGTTGCAAACAGACCTCAGCCCATTAGAAGGGCCTCCCTTGTGTGGGAAGACCACAGCTGTTACTGTAAATCTCATCCAGTCACTGTATCGCCCCCATTTTGTGGCTCTGAAGGATGAAATTGCGAAATGGAGCACTGTGCAGCCATCCTTTACGTCTCCGATTTTAGGCCTCTGCCGTCATTTTCATGCTTTTATTCCAAATCAAATAACATTAGCGGGCTACAGCACCTTCTGTGACTATCTGGTCCCAAGCACGGCTTTTGCGGTTCCCCTTTTGGGGGCTTCCTTTTATGTTTGGCAGAGACTCCCCCTTTCTCTTTCCCTTCCTGGACTTTCTTTGAGCTTTCTTAGGTGATGGCAGCTTGCAGTTAGAACGATACACGTTGCCAAACAGGTCCCAGTTGGAGTGTGTTTTCCGAGGGGGGCATGGACTGGAGAAGGTTCTGTGTCTTTTAATCTTGGTGGAAGGAGTGAAGGAGTCGTGGTAGAAGGAGATTGGGAGCTTTAATCAGAAACAAGATGTGGCTTAAATCATTAGCACAACAAAGCATACTATAAGCTTCAAGATAAAAGTCCCCAGAGAAAGGAGTCCTCTGAAAATAAATGGAACTTGATAGATTTCCATATCATTTATAACTTCCCTTAATTACACTTGGAAGACTTGCCAGTAAAACTGGAAAATTGGCAGCCTCTCTCCATTAGAGTCATTTTGCCGACCATGGCAAGCAGCTGGCTTCGCTGGATTTTATTTCCCATCACTCACAATTAATCATCAGCTGGAGATGTCTGAAACTCCTCAGCACAGAGTGATGCTGGGTGACATTCAGGCCCCTGAAACATGTGAAAATCTGCTGAGTAAATGGCTTGAGTTCTCTTGCAAGCTTACTCATTTGCGGGTAAGCCTGGCTCCTGCTTAATGAGGGCCACTCTGATAATCGGATTCGAATGTGAACCTTGACCCCATGTCAGAGGAGAGGATGCAATAAGCTGGATGAAAGATACAGGATTCAGGCCTCCAAACTTTGCACCAATTAGACAGGGAGCAGAGAAGTACATCAGGCCGACTGGCTTCATCGGAAAGACTTGCCAGGCTTGTGACTATTTAGTAAGCCCAGAGCTGGAGACAGCTTGTCACAATCAGTAAGTCTTATCAGATGATTCACAAAAGTGTTAGAGAAGCATGTGGGCACCCATGCTGCAGGGGTGGGCACTGTGATGGGGACTGCCCAGCTAGGCACTGCCAATGTGTGAGGCATGATCTGCAGGTATGGGCAATGTGGGTAAAGAGGTTCCAGCAGCTGGAAGCTGAGCCCCATGCTGCCACTCAGTGGGATCTGGAGCCTGGCTGGGAGCACACCCTCCAGTGATAGTCCCCACCCACAGACTGCAGCTAATGTATACTGCATTGATCACTAAGGGATGAATTTAGTTGAAATTAGATCAAGCTTGTCTGCATAGCTGTTTTTATACTTGTGTGTGTGCATGTGTGTGTAGCATGATCCTTGTAGGCTAAACATGCCGCTGCTGTCTTGTAGGGCATCAAGGAACACTTTCTAATTGCTGCCTCAAGAAAACAGCCTACAAAGCATCGCTCACAGTGAGGAGAGAGGGAGAGGGGAATAACTTAGGTTTCTCCTCAGAGCTAAATGATGCTGGGAAACCAGCAGACAGTAAGAGGAACTAGGAGAAAGGCAGGTGCAGGACCCAGATCTAACACTGTGAGTTGCTGCTGTACTGAGGGTTGAACAGAAAACAACATCCCTTCCCATCAGGCCACGCTCACTTTTCATCACATTACCAGCTTCACAAAGAGAGGGACAATTTTGAGACTTCCCTTTTCTGATCATATTAATAATCCGTAGGTCACCTCTTCATAATTCAGCCTTGTTACAAGCATCCAGAGCTGGCCAGGAAGGATGGTGAGTGGGCAGCAGTGGCAAGGCCTCCTATACTGGCCCACCTCTCCTGACCTTGGGCTCTCACAGGACCTGGAGGGCAGCTGTAGCCTGGTGAAGCGGTTCCTTAGTGTTTGCTGTGGGCCTTGTCATTTGGCTGGTGGGCATGTCCCTAGCACTCCCCAGGCTTCGTTTCTTCTTACAGAAGACCCATGTAAGGAGGAGTGGTGAGCTGCTTCTCAGCCTGGCCAGCAGATCCCGAGCAATTGGGGTGAGGAGAGACAAGCAGTGGCGGGAGACACAGCTGCTAGCAGTGGGATTGAGGTTGGCCCACCCACGAGGAAACTAGGGGTGCAGCGAGGGGGCACTGAGCCATCCCTGGGTTCTCAGCTGCTCACAGAGGAAACCAGCCCAGGTGGGGTGTGGAAGGCTAGCATGTGGGAATGCATCCATCTGACTGGAATAGTGACCAGAGCCCAGAGGTGGAGATTTGAGCCCTCATTTTTTAATAGAATTTCTAAGGTGTTCTGTGGAGAGTTGGGTCCATTCCCAAGGGAGCCATCTGTGCTGTTCCCTGGGGGCCAGTCCTGGGGTCAGGGAAATTTCAGTCTGGCTGCTAGACCGGCTCTTAGCTCTGTTCCTGCTGTGGCTAGACCCATAGTCCTTTCCTGTGTGGCTGTGACACCTGCCCTTCTCCTGGTGTTCTTGGCCCCTGACTTGCATTTGAGGAGAGAAAAAAAAAAAAGCTCTAAAATGACAGCATCATGGAATAAGTGTTCCGACACCTCCAACTGGGGCATTTGCATCATCTTGGTGCTAGCCTCTCCTGTCCCCCACATTTTGAAGATCAGTCCTTTCGAGTGTCTTCTTCACTGTGCATGCAATGCACACGCCAGGTGAAATGAATCAAAAGCGGCAGCAAGCACTGTGTTCCAAGCCCACTTGTCAGCAGTGCCTCTCCTCCGTGCCAGCACCGAAGTCTTGGCATCCCCTTCTCTTCCTATATCCCTGTGCCAGGAAAACACAGCCCACCACCTGAACAGCAGAGGGAAGAATGCACAGAGCTCCGGCACTCCCATTGCCAGCAAGACAGCTTGTGCCACATGGGGAGCCGGGAGGGGACTTGGAGATCATTTGGGGATGGCAGGAAAGAACATTCTCCAGGCCCTTCTGTGGCATTGGCCAGCATAGCCACAGTGGTTTGACTGTCCAGGATCCCCACCCCCAACCCCAGCCAGCATGCCCAGCAGCACTCCATGAAGCCTTCGTCCCATCCCACCATTTCATAGAGCAAGAGGCCCTTTTCCACAAAGCAGAGAGAAAAATCCTGGCCCAACTCCTTGGTGCTTAACCAAGGCCAGAAAGAAGGGAGTAGTGTAGCTTTTAGTCACAGCTGACTCCTGGATGGAAGCCCCAGCTTTGCCCCGTGGTATGTGCTGCTGAGCCTGGAGCTCCCTCACTGTCAAAGGCAAGCACCAGACACAGGCTTGAGTGAACACCTGGGCCTCCTTGTGAGGACTGGCTGTAGCTGGAGAAGCCATTTGCTGTGTGGGAAGGTACTTCCCAGGAGGTACCTCAGTGTCAGTACTTGTGTGTCTGAAGACGAAAAGGACAGTGGTCCTTACGGCCCTGGTACTAGGATGTTGTCCTCAGCTCCCCAGCACTATAGTTAAGACATGCTATTTTTTGGTAAGAGCTTTATAAGTTATAATTCATGTATAGTTCATCACCCTTTTAAACTATACAGAGAAAGTATATAAGTTGATGGTGTTAATCTGTGCATAGATGTGTAATCATCACCACAGTCAATTTTAGAACATTTTTATTACCCCATGAAGAAACCTTTACCCATCAGTAGCCACACCCCTTGTCCTTCAACTCCAGACAACCAGTGGTGAGTCCTTTGGTCTGTAAGCATTCGCCTATTACAGACAGACATGGCAGGTTAGTGGATTAGTAGCTTTGTACCACCTTTGGCAGACTGTGAGAGCCCCACGGAAGCCTCACGTGCAGCACTCCCAATCTTCCTTCCAGTATGGGTTTTCCTGCTGAAGACCTGATGATGGGGAGAATGGCCTTTCCCCACTGCTCCCTAGGGATGAACTGGAGTGAGAGCCATCAGAGGTTGTTGGTACTTGTTCCATGAATATTTCAATGTGTCTGACAAAGAACTGAATGGCTTCACTCTTGGGCATTATTGTAAAATAGAATGTTCTTAAAACTTGTCTATTTTAACCTATTTTCCAGGTAGTAGAAGGTCATGAAATTTGTGTGATTGAAGCTATGAAAATGCAGAACAGTATGACAGCTGGGAAAACAGGCAAGGTATGTCCCCAAGTTCCTGCCAGCCTACTCTAGTCTGTGATGGACATGCAGTCTCTACCTTTGAGACATGAATGGTTCGGGTGAAATGGACTGCCACCCGTCCCTTCCTCGGGGAGGACATTAGGGTCTGGAAGTCAGTGTCTCTCCCTCTTAGAGAGCAGACCTTCCAGGAAGGAGTCTCTGTATTATGTTCAGGTAGTCAAAGAACAATTGTTCTTGACCTTAATGTCTTTCAAATCAAGGCGTCTTTAATTTTTGAGGTTTACATCTATCTTGGAGGCAGATAGCTATTTGAGACATTCATGGCAGGAAATGTTTTTACAGATTGCAAAAATTAATGTAACTCTTCAAGATAGTTTCCCCATGAAGGAAACGATTTAGTTGTAGATGGAGGAGCTGAAGCCCCAAGTACAAGTCGGGGGCTTAATGATTCAAGGAGAAAAAGAGAAAGAGGCATCAGTACTAAAATTTGTTGGGGGGAGGGACTTCTTGAAGACCCTGCTATGCACTTTGCTCTTCTTCCTGTGACTAAAGAGATGCCATTGCTAGGAATATCCCTTTGTTTGAAAGTATCTGCATGGTGGAGTGTGATGGGCTATGTCCTCTGCTGTGGGCACTGTTCATAGAAATATGTCTGTTACAGCCATTTACATCACCCAGCTTCTGTCCTGTGGTCCGTCATTCCACAAGACAATGTGACTGAATCTCGGAGGAAGGCCTAGGGGAGAGCAGAAAGCCCTGTACAGACTGGGTGGCCCCAATCTGCTGCCAGGCTGGAACAGGTTCAGATGGCCATACAGTGTTGGTGACTTTGACAGTGTCAAATGGCTGGAACTGCAGTCTTTACAATCATTTCTAAGCCACGCATGGTGGCTCATGCCTATAACCCCAGCACTCCAGAGGCTAAGGCAGGAAGATCATAAGGAATGCCATGCCCCCTAAAAAAATAAATGGACAAAAATGTTTCTGTTCATGTAAAATCCATTTTACTTGTTCTTTGGGAATACCACATTAGTACAATGGTAAGAACTTGGCCTAGTCATGAGGGTACCAAGAATGGGTGCCATAATCAGGCCAAGGGCCCTGGGTGGCTGGCTGACTGGGGTGCTGAGTCAGCATATCTATCACACCTGTGGTACATGGAGCCCCATCAACTGGGGTGTCTTATTTCCTTGCTTTTGGTGCCTGGCTGGCTCCTCCCTCATCCTCAGTAGCCCAGAACCACTTCCAGAAGTGCTACTGGGGTCAGTCTCTGCTCTGGCCAGATCCCTGTTAGCTGGAGTCCCTCCTGTCCATTCCAGCCTCTGTCCCCAAGGCTCCGGAGTTCAACCCTGTAAGACACAAGAGTGGGGCTGGCCAAGTCTAAGGCTGGTGGTTCTTAACCTGGGAATTGTGCCATCGTGAAACACATACCGTATGTAACCGTCTGAAGATCTGGGTCCTGAAGCAGACCTTATTATTCTAGATAGCATTTCCCCCATAGCTTGTGAAGTAGTAACTGACTGGTCTACACTGCTCATAGAAACTCTGGGCTGGAGTTTGAGAAAGGGCTTGTCTAGTCTGCACATGAGTGATGGGGACACAGGCCCTTGCAGCAACCCAGACAACCACCACTGGAAATATTATTTGCCTATTTCCCATGTGGCTAGTTTGGTCAAACCCACCGTGTTCATTCATGGCTTAAGCAGTCATCTCCAAGGAGGCAGATGAGAGCCTTCTCTACACTTCAGCCTCTGCTCGCTCCTTTTAAATCTGATCATAAACTTGGGCAAGCAAGACACGAATATGCTCAGGAGAAATCATCAGAACGTGGCACAGCTCTGCATTCTGTCACACAGACAAGGGAAAAATATTGAATCATTTCATTTCCCTTCAGAAGGAGGCAGTGTTCAGGCTAAGAAGTCTTGTGTGTGTGTGTGCGTGTGTGTGTGTGTGTGTGTGTGTGTGTGTGTGTGTGCGTGTGTGTGTGCCTGTTTGGACTATTAGGCAGTTTTTGGTTGTTTTTTTTTTTTAATATTTTATGTGTATGCGTGTATTGCCTGCATGTAGGTAAATGCACCCATGTCGTGCAATGCCCTCGGAGGTCAGAAGAGGCTGTTGGATCCCCTGGAACTGGAGTTACGGACAGTTGTTAGCTACCATGTGGGTGCTGGGATTTGAATTGGGTCTTCTGCGAGAACAACCAGTGTTCTTAACCGCCAAGCCATCTCTCTAGTTCCTAGGCAGTTGTTTTTTACCAGGCCACTAAATATACACTATAGTCCCCCAAACCATAGGAAAGGTAGAGATGGGTGTGCTTCAGTCACTAGCATGGACAGGGCAGGTCAGGATGTGCCTGGCCCTAGTGGCCCAATGAGCAAACCACAGCCTGAATTCCTTGAGAACTTTCTTAGGCTGACAGGACAGACTAGGCAGGGGGAGGGTGACAGCCCTGTCTCTCACACACATGGGCCCTGCTATCTCAGAAGAGGGTAGGATAACTGCCCCTCCTGGTTCCCATTTCTGATTCTCTCCCCTCACCCTTTCTCATTCAAGGTGAAGTCGGTGCATTGCAAAGCTGGAGATACAGTTGGGGAAGGAGATCTGCTGGTGGAGCTGGAATGAAGTATTTATAGCCTTTCAGTCACCAGCGCTTTAATTAGCACTTCTATTGTTCTCCAACACTCAATTTATTCAAGCATTTTACAGGAACACTCCTGTGCAGCAGGTTCTACATCATATTTATTCCTCAGAGGAGGCAAACCCCGACATTCTGCCAAAAAAATCACCAACGGAAAATTTTATTGATATAAATACTTGTACATATGATTTGTACTTCTGCTGTGAGATTTCCTAGTGTCAAAATTAAATCAATAAAACCAAGCATTTGTCTAAATATTAGTTTTCCCTTTTTTTCTGAATGAAGACAATGCACACAGGCGACAGGCTGTGCCAGCTGACTGTAAGTACCAGCATTTCATTGTGAGCCTTTAAAGATTTATATAAAGATCTACATAGACCCCCATCTCTCTGCTCCAATTGCATTAGCATTTGCCATTTTATAATCTGATGACCTTCCTTCTTCCAACACTCATGACTTCCTGAGACCAGGTAGCACAGATGAAGGCTCTGGAAAACCCCTGCTGTGGCTGTACAGTTGTTGTCACACTGGATGGCTAGAGTCAGAAGGTGACTGTAGGGCTTTTGGTACACAGGGTGCTGCCTGCCCTGATCTGAGGACACCCATGTTGCAACACAGGCTGGTGCTCCTGGAGTGCCCAGCAGCCTCACCCTGTTGTGTGGGGGCTGCCCGCCCATCAGCTGATAGCCATCCTTGCTCTGTTTTGTGAAGCAAGCATCCTATTAGAAAGCGGGGCTAAAAATAGTGATGTTTTTGTGCCAGATGCAGTTAGCAATTACAGTCTACCATTAAGTTGAGTGAGTGAGCCTCAGCAGAGGATGGGGGGAGGTTCTCTGGCCCAGCAGAGGATGGGGGTGCTCTGGCCCAGCAGCTGCATTTTCACTTGGTTCTGAAATTCTTGGAATCCATTTTCTACTTTGCTGGGAAGCAGAAGCAAAGTTGTATGAGACTTGCATCTATGCTGACAGATTATCAGATGGAGGTGGATGGTAATTGGTACTTCATGCCTTGCTAACATTATTTTAAGTGCTGTTTGTATTTGGAAGCTAAGCCTCTGTCAGGCCTGAGGAACAAATTACTAATGTGCTGGTTCTTCTGAAAGGCCCACCCCCAAGGGCTGCACCTTCAGGTGGCAAGGATGGGATGGGCTGTTGGGAGCTGGGTAGCCATCAAGGACATGAAGTCCGAGTGCTCAGCTGTGTCTCCCAGCAAGTGAGTGCTCTTGTCTTGGCTAGATTAGAATGAAAAGAACTGTCTGTTAAGTACACCAGAAAGACCAAACACAACAACACCACACTTATAAATGAACATTTTAATAGTCTATGATCTGAAAATGGCAAGGAGCAAGGGGTACATAGTCTAAGGTACAGCATGTTTTCTTGAAGAGTTTATATTGAGCCATCTCAAATCAGCTTTCACTGCCAATTTTCTAGGTGCTAGGACTCTACTCAGCCCCCAAAACCGAACCACACCCCAATCTTTAGTCACTGAAGATATGATCTTCAGGTTTGAACTAAACAAGTCAAAAAAAAAAAAAAATCCCAAGAAAGGATGGTAAGTCCTCGAAACACCATTTAGGGGACTTGAGAACAAAGTGTTTCTTATCTAATATATTCAAGGCCAGGAACTCCTTGAATAGCAAACAATAGTAAGTAATATCAGATTTGAGGGTACAGTCTTGATACTAGGATGTCCAAATTACTTGCAAAATTTGTGTCACAGGCTTTTGCAGACCGATATCTGTCCAGCTGGGCCAGCTCTGCCTGAGCTGGGCACCCTCTGTCTTGCCGACATCTGCTGGTTCCACAGCCTCCTCACCTGTTTTCCCGGGGGTTGTAGCGCAGCCCATGTGGGCCCTCTGAGTCATAGCTGTCATGGTAGGGGAGGTGCAGCCACTCAGGGGCATAGGTGGCTGTGCTGTACACGAAGCACTGTAGGCTCTCCCCTGGACCAGTGACGCCCTCCCACTCAAGCACCCGCACCCGCAGGGCCTTGCGCTGGTACATGTTAGGGCAGCCTTCGAAGTCATCGAGGAAGCGAAGCATCTGCTCGTCCACTGTGTAGATCTCACCTGACACGCAGTGGCCCCTACCTGGCAGGTGGAGCAGCCATGGGATGTTGTGCTCCCCTGCGATCACCAGTGGGAAAGGCTCAGCTGTGCAGCCACGGCCCCGAAAGGCCGCTGAGCCATGCGAGCAGTCCAGCATGACCTTGTGGTTCGGCTGGCCTCGCTTCAGCGTGCCGTACACGAAGACGTGGGCCATCTGGGTGCAGGGGCTGCGAATGAGAACACAGGCAGGCATGTCAGCACATGAAGAGCTGGCCGGCGGCACAGCTGTCTCTGGCGTCCTCTGGACTACAGGGCCAGTGCTCCATCAGTCTCTCCACTCTGCTGGCCAAGGAAACTGTCCTGGTTAAACTTTGCCTGTGAACATGGAAGTTCATACGGTTTTCACATCATGAAATAGTTTCTCACAGCCATTTACTTAATTTGGATTTATTTTTATTTTATGCATATGAATGTTTTGCCTGCATGGATGTAAGTGCATTATGTGCATGCAATGCTGGCACAGGCCAGAAGAGGCCTCTGGAACTGGAGTTACGGGAAGTTTTTAGCTGCAAGGGCAGCCAATGCTCTTAACCACCAAATCATCTCTCCCAGCCATTTAAAAACAGAAAGGCATCAGGCCAGCCTGCCCTGGAGTTTTTGATCCTTATGACTTAAAAATCTTGGACTAGGGCTGTAGCTCAGAAGTAAAACATTCACCTAGCACAGCAGGCACCATGGGACAGGGAGAGGGAAACTTCCATGTGTTTGCAAGTACTTTGGTGGTAGCTCTGAGCTCAGCTGATCCTCTTGCTCATCCTCCCGAAGACCTGGCAGTACAAGGATAGCTAGCACATTGGGCAAAGAGCCCTGTTTTTTTGTGGCTAATCCGCTACCACAGCAATGCTACAGTAGGAAGTCAAGGCTTGTCAGCCACCCTGACAGACTGACCCAGTGTCAGAGAGAACTCAAGCATAGTCTACATCTGGAAACAGCCCAAGCATCTCAGGTGGGAATCACAGTGGGGTGGGAACAGAACAAAGGACCGCCTCTGCAGCTGGCCACTGAGTACAAATGGCCTCACTTAGGCCTCCATGACACTCGTGTTTCAGAGGCACAGGCCTGACCTCATGACTGACACATACTGACATCCTTCACCAACCACCCCACCCTGCCCTGCTCATTGGAAGCAGCAGCTGCCAGAAGCAGCCTTGGACAGGCCCCGGCAGTCACATCCCAAAGCATCCAGTCCTGTGAGTACGCTATACCCCACCCTTGATGATGTTGTATGGTGTGGCTGAGGCCGCTGCAGAGGTCAGCCACACACCGTCACTGTTGATGGAAGGTATCCAGTCTGAGAAGGTGGTTGTCTGTCAGATGGGGATAGCCCAGCAGCTCAAGACCCGCAGACTGGCTGCTTTCTTAAACAATTAGTTTTCAGTATTTTAAAGGGCTTTGAATCTGCATAGCAGATACTACAGGTAGATCAGGAATAACGAGACGTAAACACATACATTAACAACTTGGATCCCAGCTTCCAAAAAGAACCAAGGTTTCAGTACCACATTTACATTCCAGGCCTGGCACTGAGACCCAGTTAAAACTTCACAGCACCTGTCAGCACCACTTTTTTTTCTCAAGGTCTTGGTGGGTAATGACTTCACAGTGACTCACTGTGACCCAGAGCAACCTTGGCTCCATGTAAAACTAATGCTTATGGCCGGCCTGGGTCTGGGCTACAGACCATTATATAACAATGAGAGTGACTTGTGTAGAAAGTGACTAGGAAATGCAAATAAGCATTCAAAAAGCAGGGCCTCTCCACAGCCCTGTCTATGCTCTACCGCCCCCTGCCAGCACTGCCAGACATGAGAGTCTGGGCTTTGGGGAGAGGCTCCCAGCGCAGGAAGAAGAGGAGCTGGTGTCATACAGCACTTGCCTAGCTAGTGCCGGGCTCTGGTTCCATCCCAGAGGTGGAGGTAGAGAAGATCAAAAGATGTGTCTGGGAAAGCTCAGCCTGTGAAAAGAGAAATGCAGTTCTCTGCCCCTTCCTCCCCGACCCCCAACAGGCAGTGCTTCTAAGCCTTTCAACTGTCACATCTGGTCTTTCCATGTGGTTACTTGCTGCTCCCTCTGGCTTTTCTCCACAAAAGGCAGGTATGAACACTGTACAAACTGCTGTTGAAATCCTGAGTTTATTTCTTACTGTGTGCCTTTGGGCAGATCACTGAACCTCTCTGAGCTGCAGCTTCATCAGCTGTAAAATGAGGTAATCACAGCAGCCCATCACAGGACCTGGAAACAGGTGAGTTCATCACAGAAGAGCCCTTCGTGTCTGTAAGCCACATCTACCATTCTGGGACACAGCTCCTACCTCTCCCTGACCTGCCATCAACCTGGCACCTTCTGTGCTGTCTGTTTGACCTCTGCACTGGCACTGTGGCAGATGGCTCTCGGGTACACCACACAGTGCACTACCAGATTTCCTTTCTCAGATATGCTCTGGTTTTAATGTTCTGGAATTAAAACTGCTCTGGGTGTCCGTTTTGCATGACACCTGCATGGGTTTCTGTGGTGATGACCCTGCCTCACCACTTCAGACCCGTAGGCTCAAGCCAGCTGGCCTTGCCCTCCCTTTGGCTGCTACTTAGCCTCAGATGTTTTCTCCTTCTTGGGAACAGTATAGTGGAAGGGAATCAACTCTTCTCCTGAGGGGACTCAGGTAGGCCATGGCCATCTTCCTGGTTCCCAGGCTCGCTGGTAGCCAAGGTCACTTGGGGCCTGAGCTGCCTCTCCGAGGCTTGGGTCCCTTGGCTTCTTCTGATAAGCTAAGATAGGGCTCAAATGGATTTTCTCTTTCATTCATGGTGCTGGGTGTTCCAGCCTGAAAGTCCATCATCTTGGGTCATAGGGGAGTTTCTTCCCTCTCCTCCCTCCTCCTCTGCCCAGTTTCTGGTTCTGTTGCTGTTCAGGCAGGTGATGTGGAGGGACCCTCAGTGTTCTCCCTTCATTCCCAGGCTCATCTTCCCATTCTGTTGCAGGAAGGCAGCTCTCCATTTATTTCCAGCATTTTTCTTCTCCTGTTTCTAGCCTCTTGCTCTGGGACACAAGCAGTATCAGCTCACTCTTCTCGAAAGTTTCTTTCTCTTCACGTCTTTCGAACCTGTGTTTCTCTGAGAGATTTTCTCCCCATGTCTGGCCTTTTATAGTCAAACTGACCATCTCTGAAAGTGAGATGGTACAAGAGAGGGGCCCAGCAGCTGGCTGGCTTGGGGGCAGGTCTGTGGATTTTCCTTCAATCCATTACAGTCTAAGTGCTAGGATTAGAGGTGTGAGCCTCCACACCTGGTTTGCAGTAAGTTTTGAATCAAGAAGTATACAACCTCCAATACTGTTTCTCAATATGTCTATTTGGGAACCCTCGAAACTGCATATGAACTTTAGGTTGGATTTTCCTATTTTGGCAAAAGGCATGGCTGGTAGTTTTGGTAAGGACACATTACATCTGTAGATTGCTCAAGGTTTGGCTGACACTTGTCTTGCACCCCATGAACATGGGGTGTCCTTCCATTTGGGTTTAAGTTTTTTCAGCAATTTTAAATCATTTTCAGTGTCATTTTAAGTTTATTCCTAAGTATCTCTTTCTGATACTATTAGAACTGGAATTTCTTAATTTCCTTTTAAGATTGTTTACTGTTAGCATTTAAGAATCCAGCTGATTTTTATGCATTGATTTTTGATACTACAGCTTTGCTGAATTCATTAATTTCTAAAAGTTTGGGTTTTCTATGTATAAGATGATGCTAACTACACAAGACCATTTCCTTCTTGCTTTCCATTTGGAGGCCTCTTTCTTTTTCCTGCTTGACTGCTCCAGCTAAGACTCAGTGTATGCTGAGTATAAGGAGGGAAAGCAGCTGCCCTTGTTTTGTTCTTGTCTTTGAAGAAAAGCACTCAGGGTTTACTAGCTTGGGGTTTTCACATATGGCCTTCACTCTGTTGAGGGTACTTCCTTTATTCCTGGTCTGAGCATTGTCTGGAAATATGTTATTAAATGCTTTTTTCTGTATCAACTGAGGTGACTGTAGGTTTTTTTTTTTTTTTTTTTTTTTTTTCTATTCAGTCAATGTGATTGCATTTGATATATGGGCCCATCCTTACATTCTAGGATGCAGGCACGAAATACTTTTAATGTTAATGGGTTCTGTGGAAGATTTTATATCAACTCTAGTAGAGACACTAACCTGTAACTTTAGTATCCTTGTCTGGCTTTGGTATCAGGGTAATGTAATGTCTTGTGGAATGAATTTGGAAAAGTTCCTTCAGTTTTTGGAATTATTTCACAAAGACTGGAGTTAGTGTTTTAAATGTTGGTCAGGAGTCACCAGAGAAGCCATCTGGTCTTGGGCTTTTGGGGAGGGGCAAGATTTTTTCATATGTTTGAGTGTAGGTGTGTGTGTGTGTGTGTGTGTGTGTGTGTGTGTGGAGGTGGGGGGAGTCAGCCTCAGGTGGTGTTCCTCAGGAGCCAACTATCTTGACTTCTGTTTGTTTGAGACAGTGTTTCACTGGGACCTTGGGCTTGTCAATTTGGCTAGACCCGAGTCAGCCTGTCTTCCCCTCCCTGGAGCTGGGATTGTAAACGTGTACTGTACTACCATGCTTGGCTCTGATTAAAATGTGAGTGCTGGGAATCAAACTTGGGTCTCAGGCCTACATGGTAGCTGCTTTATTGACAAAACTCTCTTTCCAGCTTCCTTTCGGTAGCTAAAGGTCTGTTAAGATTTTCTGCTTCATCACGATTCAGTCTTGGCAGGTGTGCATTTTTGTCTCCCTCATCTGAGTCAACCATCTCACTGACTGCAGTTGCTCACGGCATCCTTTCTATTTGTATAACGTGGGTTATAATGCTCCTTCTTAACTTCTGGTTTTAGTTGTTTAGGATCTCTTTCCCCACCCAAGCTTTGTCATTTTTGTCAGCTTTTTTTCAGATGCCCAGCTTTAAACTGTTTTCCCTGATTTTCCTCTACCATGTTCCTATTACCTATTGTCTATCTCTACTCCAGCCTTTTCCCCTGCGCTCTTTTTTTCCTTTCCTTTAGCTAATTTTGGCTTTAGTTGATTCTTCTTTGAGTTCTTTCTAAATAATATACACTGGTCCTTGTCTGGCATGTCGAACCAAGAGCTGCTGTGAAGGTCACGGACAGTAGGACATAAGAAACCATGACAATGGCAGGATAGCTAGACCACACTACAGGGCCTCAGGCCCCCAGGCCAGGCCTGTGAAAGGGGATGTAACTTCCTGAGTCATGCCTGACTGTGTCATCAAATCCCACCTGCTCTGCACTGCTGGATCTTCCCACAGCACTGAGTTAAGGTCAGAATCTTAGATAAAAGTGCAAGAACTTCATTTAATAGGGGCAGAACTGGTATAGGTCAGCCAATGGTTTTTTTCCAGAGCAAGACAAAGATGGCTGTTTGTCTCTGCTTTAATGTGAAGTAGATGTCCCCAAGTCAGCCTGAACCATGATATGGAAAGGCAAGTATTCTGCTGGATCACACAGGCTACGGGCCTAACCTCCCCACAGAACATCAGACAGGGCAGCCACAGGTGGGCATTTCAGGATAAAGTGCCTGGTAAATATAAAAAAGGGCACTTATGTCAACAGATCTAAATTGAAGTCTAAATTGAGTACGCCACAACTACATAGTCTGAGGAAAATAATTTTAAGTCTCTGAGCTTCTGTTTTCTCCTTTTAAAAACTGAGCTCATCATATTTTCCAATGATCTAAATCTGTATTGACTGCTGACTGTGTGCCAGCCATAAGCACCTGACGACTTTAATTTCCTTTTCCCCTTGACCCTTTCCTGTCTTTCCTGTCTTTCCCCGGTCTCTACCTCAGCTTCTCCTTCTAAAAATATGGACTAGCTGTAGTTTTCTCAACTAATCCCCTAAAAGCATTGTGGCTGTGGGCTTAACAATTGTTCAGAACCAAGAATGAATTCAGTATTACATGATATAATCATGATTTGGACATAATGTATTACTTCCAACTCTAAAAAATCAGTAACTTTCCTCTGCAGAAAATAGCTTATTTTCATAAAAGAAGCTAGGCTTTTCTCAGAAGCAATCTGCTGAGTGAATCCTGTCTAGTATAAAATCAGCCCAAGAACACTGCTTAGGTAGTATTCTGCATATCTGGCTTCTTTCATAAGAAAAACATCATTACCTTTTCTGATTGTGTTTTGAACAGCACACACAGATCCTTCAGGAAGCAACCTGTCCCTGTGGGGATTGAGAAAGGATCAGAGTTAAGCACTGAAACAAGCAATTAATTCCCATTAGAGGATTAAGGCACTCACGTTCACTTTGAATCAGAAAAGCAAGTTGTGAGTGAAATGGTGTACAGCCAAGAGGTTACTTGTCAAAGTGAATAAATTAGAGACCCAAAGAGCAGCTAGAATGCACTGGAGAGCCTGGGCAGGCACATGACACTGGCCAAGAAGTGGTAGGGTCTCTCTTGTTCATGGGAAGGATTGCCTTTCCCTTTACAACACTGTGCAAACACTGTGCCCTATGTAGCTGTCTTCTCGATAACAGATGTGCCCCGTGGATATAAGTCTGAAAGCATTAATCACCATCCGTCACGCCTGACTCCCTCATCCCACTGCACCAGTAAGAACATGGAATCCAGGGGTTGGAGAGATGGCTCGGCAGTTAAGAGCACTGGTTGCTCTTGCAGAGGGCCTGGATTTGGTTCCCCACACTCACATAGTGACTAACAACCATCCTTAACTCCAGTTCCAGGAGATGTGACACCCTCTTCTGACCTCCACAGGCAGTGCTTGACACAGGTACACTTACATGCAGGCAGGCGATACACGTAAAATAAAAATGATAAAAATTTTTAAAAGAACATGAAATCCAGACAGTCACATATGGATACTGTTTAGAGAGTTTCACTGGGAGATCTAGAACCTATACCAAGTGCATTTGTGCACTCTCTCTGTGGATGTATCACAGATGCCATGAGGAGCAGGTGGGCAACCTGCAGGGTCAGGACTAAGATGCCCTGCTCAGGAACGGAAGAGCGGAAGCTGAGCCCCTGTCCCACACTCTGCTGTGGCCAAGAACACGGTGCCTGACCAGAAGTCAGCCAGAGGAAGAACAGGCTCGGAGTCTCCAGAAGCTTTAGCTCAGCAGAATCTGACTACTTTAACACCGTCAATATTTTACAAAACCAAAACACTTGGGAATAGGGCACGTTCATCTGGCTGGACACTGCTTGAAACGCCTGTTACTCAGCAGTTTTCTTTCCTGTAGCACAATCCATCTATAGTTTCATATTTCATCACTTAAGCAGAAACTGAAAGTGATTACAAGTCCTCTGCATAATCATTTGCTTTGTCCTGTTTTTTGTTTTGTTTTTTTTACTAGCCACCTGGTGGCAAGAGTGTAAGAGGCAGGATTTAAGCATTTAATTAAGATAGTTTAAATCATGACTACAGCACGTGTCCAATCCATACTTAAAAACACACACCAGGTGAACTAAACAAAGAAAAAGGTTAATACCCTCTTCCAACATTAATTTACAAAAGGATTTTAAATGGACATTGCCTAGCACAAGAACAACCTTTTGAAAAGGTACCTCAATAAGATATTCACCCTGCTTGCATTAAAATTCAGTGACAAGAAGAAATGTTAGAAAATTCCGTATGTCATAACTTTATGTTTTTTACTCCATATGATAAATCAAGAAAGTAACAGTATACTTGCCATTGTCAAGTCAAGACCATGAAGGATATGGGAGGCACAGTCTCTGACCAGACCTGGCTCTACCGCTCACCACTGGCTGCAGGAGTAATTGTTTCAAAGTCAGAAACTCCTGCTCTACAGAATCAATAGCAAAAAACGTATAAACTGCTTTCATCATCCACTGTCTGGGTCAAAGTGGCGGTACCAAGTTCATAAAGGGCACAGTGATTACAGTTCGGGCCACCCAGCTACACCTGAACATGGTGCTGACTGCTGTCCCGGTCTTTATATCCACCAGCAGCCACACGAGGGACATGCCTAAGTGTGGGGAAACCAAGTAAGAAGCACATGGACATGTAAACATAGGGGCATGTTTACAGAGAAATTCCTTATTTTCTAGAAACCTCCTTGCAGCTCAGTCACAAGCCACTTCCCCTCTCCTTCTCCCTCCCCCACAACAACCCTATTTTCCTTGGAGCAAAGGCCAAGTATCTGATATAGTTACTCATTAATTCTTCAGAAGTTTCTTAGAACTGTAGGAAACAGGTGAAAAAACAAGATGCTGTGAACTTTAAACCTGGCCCTGGCCTGTGAGCAGGAGCAGGCACTGAGGTCTCAGGCATCTCGCCAGGGAGGGCTGGCCGCATCCTGCAGATGCTTTGATGCTCTCATTTCGTTGCCTGCTCATTTCTTTATAGCAAAGACAAAGGCTTCCTGCTGGAGCCAGCCTCACCAACTCCACCAATACCCCGGAAAGTAGACAGCCAAACACTGACCTTACATTAGCAGTACTGGACGCCTTGGGTAGGACCCACTGGGGTGTTCAAAGCCCCAGACTCTCAAAAGTCTGGGAAAACAAACAGGGCTTTATGGCCCTGATGCCACATGGGCTGCATGAGTTTGCCCTTGGCAACCATTCTGGGAGTTTGTACACTTTGGCTGTGACAAAAGTTACTTTATCATGCTGTATTACTTTAAAGGCAGTTGTAGGTCAGCAGGATGGTCCAGCAGGTAAAGACACTTGCCACCAAGCCTGATAACCTGAATTCTCTGAGACCCACAGGGTGGAAGGAGGGAATGAGTCCCACAAGTTGTCCTCTATCACATGAACTCTGTGGTACAGGTACCCCCCCCACACACAAAATATATGATTAAAAAAAAATGTAAAGGCAATTGCATTGCCATCTTCAAAGCACAGTGACCAATAATGCAGGCAGCCGTCTCTGCACTCCTGCCCATTCTGAGAGTATGAAGAAGAGTGGCTGGACTATTCCCAAACACTGGCCGGGATGGAGTCCTGAGCACACAGGCCAGGTACATTGGGGTGGAGACATGCTGGCCCCTGCTGTTCCAAGTAGCTCAGCAGCCAGATACCTGTCAACAGGCTGAGCAGGCAGCTCCAGGCCTCAGAAGGTACCAATGACTGCCAGGACCACCTGCTGGTGCCACTTGCATTTCAGAGTTGAATGCAACAGGATGGCCACTGGGAGACTGCTGGCATTGGCCTAGACCCGGCTAAGTGCTTCAGCTCCTCTCACTCATGCTTAAGTCCTCACACAGAGTGTGCTCTGAGGTCCCCTTAAAACCCCTCTGGTTCAACACAACTTGGGTACAAATCCACAGGTATCTCATACAGTGCTAGGCTCTGCTACCATTGCTGGTCCACACCCTACCAGAGGCCAGGCAAGAAAAGAAGCGGGTATTGTAGATTCTGGGAGGTGACTCAGGGAGGAGCCAGGTGCCCAGGGAGACCAGTACAGACAGCAATGGGGCTGAACTGGGATCAAGATCTTTCAAGAGCCATCCCCTAGCAGGGTGGGAAGGGAATCAATGTGAAGATATGACCCTTTTGGTGGAGGAGCTAGTGACACTTTCCAACTTAATCCAAGTGGTTGTACAGTGGTAGCCATTTGTGAAAACCGCCGTCCTGTGCACTTAGTCTGCAAATCTGTGTACAAATTATAGTCCAATGTTCATACACAAAACACTAATGGCCAGGCACAGTGGTACACACCTATAATTCTAGCGTCTGGAGGCCGAGGCAGATAGTGAATTCAAAGCCACTGTGGACTACAAAGTAAGGCTAAATTTCAAAAATAAGAACTAGTGAGAAAAAAAGTAGCACAGAAAATCTGCAGGCTGCAGAGTCTCAACTGTCATTACTAGTGTCTGTTAGGGAATGCAACATGCCTCCCAATCCCTAATCAGAAACAGAAGTTTATCTACTTACAGTTAGATTTCCAGAAGCATCGAGTTTCCCAAGTCTTTCTGCAACACATCTGTGCTGGCCTGTTAAATTCAATCACTTTCTGGAAGCCAACATGCACTAAAACAGAGCAAGACATCCTCCTGTGCAGCCTATGGAAAGTAGGCCAAGTCAGCAGGCACAAGAGGTAGGAATGAGGGTGCACAGGGTGTCCCTGTCAGGCTCTGGACACACTCAGCTTTCTTTACCCACCCAAGGCCCTATCCACGCCAACTGCTGACTAGGCAGTGATTTCCCACACTTGGTAAGAAACACAGCAAATGATCTGTCTTTCTGAATTCCTTTCCAGGCCTACTGGAAGGGAGTGCGCTATTAACTAACACTTGGCAATTGCTCAAAAAGTGTTTACTCTGCCTGGAGCTAGCACCCTGGTAAAGGAGGGAAGAGCTAGGAATTTGGGTCTTGTTTGTGCAGAACTAGGGAAATAGGGCATCTAGGTCTGGCTGAAGGTAGTTTCCAGTCTGCCTTGTGGGCCCTGAGGGCTTCACCGTTTTGCTTTGAATCAACTCTGCCAGAATAGTAGCCAGTGCTTGGGAAGACTGCTCTGCCCCTTCCTTCATTTTTCTATAGTATAGGTTATTGGTTTTTTTGTTTTTTTTTTTTTTATTTGGAAACTTAGAAATACTTTGACTAACTGGGTTTGAAATAGGAATGTCTATACCTTAGAATATTGTTTTGTTTTTCAAAGACAACTCAATGTATTAGTAACACCTTTGTTGCTGTTTTTGTGGTACTAGGGATCAAACTGAGGGCCTTGTGAATGCTAGGCATGTGCCCTACCACTGCTCTCCATTCCCAGCTCCATTTAACATAAATGTTGTATTCCCAACATAAAAACTGCAGAAGGCGCCTGGGCCAGCAATTAAAAATGCTGTAGAAAGCTATTCTCTTTCCTTCTAGGTAGTTTACTAACAAAATACTCCAGAAAGATGAGAACTTAACCCATTTGAACAACTCTTGAATAATTATTTTAGAATTCTGACTTACTCAAAAGTGAAGAAATAGAACTACAAGTGAGGGCCCCGGCTAGGCTTGGCCAAATGTATTCTCTATTTAATAGCTTACCAGTGTGATTTCTTTAAGAGGAACAATTCCATAAAGAGCAGTGAGCAGAGAGCCAAGACAAGTTCAAGGTAAGGCCAAGCTCTTGCCTACCATGGGTATATGAGAGGGGAAAGGAAAGTCAAGGAAAAGCAAGACCACATGGGAAGGGACGTAGGAGCCACAACAGCCAACCAGGCTCCACCCAACAACACAGGACAAT